ACCTCCGCCCCCGGCCTCACCCGCGAACACTGAGGCAATGCACTGCAGCGTGTCGAGCTCCTCGTCACTGAGCTTCTCCAGATCCTGCAAGAGATCTAAGCGAAGGACAGCACACATATCTATGGACGAAAATTATTGGGCGCTCAAAATCTGCAACGTGAGAAGGACGAAACGAAAGCCAGCGCCGACTCTTTCTTGTACAGCCAATCTCTGACCCATCCCAGAATCTCTCACGAGGTTGCGTGTATGGTGAAGCCAGAGGATGTGGCGACATTCATTCAGCAATGGGCATCCGTTGGTGCTTTGCTTGGGTTGTGGGTAAAGTGCGACCACACTGACCATTCAGGCCATCCACCCCAGAGACTGCCTGGTGAAGCTGCATTGGTTCAGCAATTTGTAGCTGGACGAAAACATTGCATGCACTGCGAGCCCAATCCTATGTAGAGACCTTTAGAGTCCATCCAAAGAGACGGCATGTAAGTCATAATGTAAGTATGAAAAAAATCCACCGCAACAGAGAATGTGTTTGGAATTGCACTGGGTAGCCTGCCCGTGTAGGTGCTATGTGTGGATCACATACAATCTCAGAGGAAACACCACACCCGCATTGCTGCCAACGATTGCAACAGCACGCACTGGGCAACCAGCACCACAACTGAAGCCAGGGAAACCTTGGTTCCTTCTTGGGCGCGATGTTTTTTTCGAACTAGACAGTGAAGCTTGGGTCTCAACCTGCAGTTGAAAACTTGCCTGATATACCCAGGACCCCTTGAATATATATATATATTATATATAATATATATTATATATATATATATAAACTTCAGCCTAGCCTACCAGCTGGCTTTCGTGAATTTATAAACATCTCAAAATAAAATATTGAAAGAAAGTTCAAGCGGCCCTTTGTTGACTGGTGACCTTGGACTTCCAGTCGTTAGGATCCATATAACGTCACCGAAATGAAACATGCGGAGCAAATCGCAGGAAGAAAACACGGTTTGCAGCCACCATGAGGGGTCACAGATTCAAACCTTTGCATACCCAGTGTCTCAGTTCCAAGATTCCCCAAAACGCATTCAGTCCTTCATCTCTTCGCTCATGAAGCCGCAACTCTGCACGGTAGCCAGAAAGAAGGTCAAATGTGGGAGGATCAGCTGGAAGAGCTGCCTGTCACCCGTGATTTCGGCCTGTGCAGGTCTGCGACTCAAGAAATGTGAGGTGGACACGACACGGACTGTCGCGGGCGAATGGAAGTTTGACGCCATCAAGGATTGGTTTTGCTTTGCCATCTTCTGGCTACTTGTTCAGGATGGCCAAGAAACCAAACCGAGAGAGAACCGACAGCCAGGTGAAGTTAAACCAAACCAAGTGTGAAGCGAATTGTGTAAGCACCGAACCGGCATTTCAAAAAAAACATGGAGCGGAACCGCGGTTGAAATCGCAGAAGTATTTCTGGCAAAAAATCAAAGCCAAAAAACAAAGAAGAAAAAAGAGAAGCGAATTGCTAAGCGAAGAGAAGAGAAGGAGAAGAGAAGAGAAGGAAGAGTGCCGCAACTTTCTTGGACCTGCAATTCCTCAATGACCCTTACATGAACCCGGCCTCTTCCCACAATGCTTTGGCTGCCACAATGTTGCCGCTTTTCATGGCTCTACTGAGCCTCTTCCCCAGCGCTGGAATTGCAGCCGCGCGCATGGGTTTAAACAAAAAACAAGTGAGAGCAATCTGTACACTAGGCACAACCAGATTTAAGGCAGCAATAAAGAATGATCCGCCTTCTATGGTCAAGAACAGAACAGACATCACTCCCTGTGGAACACTTTCAATGAGCAAGTGGTGGCGCTTGCTCCTAGTCACTTGTCGGTAAATTGTGGGGAGGATCATCCCTTCCCAGCAACCTCCAGACCACTCGCCCTGGACCTTTGGCGCGATGAGCAAGACTGAAAGGTGGCTTGTGGCCAGCTCATTAAAACAGTTTGCACCCAGTGTGTCGCGTGCATGCGAAACATAAAAAAACCAGGCATGGAAGGCTAATAGGTACGACCAGCTCAACACCCCCACTATTTTGATTGAAAATTGCTGTGACTGCAAACAAAGCCCTCCAAAAATGATGTCTTTCAAAGTGTCCCACTGGTCAGATAAAAGCGGTGCCATGGAGGAAAATGAAGCCACGGTAAAAGCTGTGGCATCAAAGCGGTCCCCTCTGTTGAGCCAGGCCACTGCCAGCAGGGCTTGGACTAGCAGGGAAGCACCGGCACAACAAAACAGAAACAAATAAACTTCCCAGTCCAAACCGAGCGACTTGGACAGCCTTCCGTTTTCCAGGCTCCACAGAGTTGCAGCAAAGCTCAACAATACCGTGCTGCCAAAGCTCAACATGACCAGCCGTAATTGAGCCCCTTGGCTCAGTGGGGTGGTCTCACCCAGAGCCTGGTAGGAGCCGAGTGCTTTTAATTCGGCTCCTACCATCATGATGACTGTCCCTGAGATAACAACACAAACAAAGACCAGAAGAAAAACGCAAAGAAACCAATGGAAGCGATCAGTTTTTTCTTGATCCGTCATAGCTCTGATCTCTACAATCGTTGGAAGGAACTCTTGTGGCTCCTCAACAGTCTGAGCAGTAAAATTTCCATGCACTGCATTGTCCACAATTCCAACCAAATCTGGCAGGTTGGGAATTTCTGGAAGACTGAGACCAAATGCAGCGCAGATCAGGGTCAGCAGCTGGATTTTCATGGCGCCACGTCGGGAGGTCTAAATCTGTTTCTATCTGGGCGCCGTTGAGCTTCCAAAACTGGCCACAGGAAGTGTAGGCGTGGGTGTGTCAACTCTACAAAGCAGGAGGTCACAAGAGAAATTTTAATGAATGGACATGTCTGAGATCAGCAAACATGAATCATAAAGTTTGCCAGATATCAGAGGAAATGAACCTGATAAGGAATGAAATGCTGCGCAGTCACTCACTTTTTACTGATGATTGGGGACCACACTGTGATTCTTTAGCGCTTGGCGCTGGCGCACTCTTTGGATCTTTGGCACCTTCAAGGTCTCTTTGTTGAATGTATACAAAACAATCGCGATAGACTTTGCACTTGCATCAGCGCTTGGAGGCCATTCTCTTGGTCTCTATTCTGAAAAGACACGGGCCACTTATCCCCATATGTGCAACGACTCTTTCCAATGCCTTCACCCATTTGACAATACCCTGAAACGGTTAGAGTGGGATGTAGATCTGAGTCCCACTTCTTGCGGGTCTGAACAGTTTTCTTTGCGTGCACACCTAAAACCTTCCAAGAATACCCATGTATAGATTCCAAGGAATGCTCTGCACAGAGTGCTCTCAAAGTGATGTTGTCTTGGGGTCATGATACCTACCCATCATCACTCACTTACGCATGCAAGTTTAAACACTCCAGCCTGTTTGCAGTTCAAGCCTAAGCAAAACACCAGTGTCCTCTATTTTTGGCAAGCACGGCTCAAGGCAAGTGTTTAAAGTAAGGAGACCTTCCAAGAAAAATGTGGTTGGACATCCAGTTGTCCATCCTCAGATGACCATCCCATCCTCAGATGTTGCCAAGCCTGTGGACTGCCATGGACACTCCTGCAGCACCATGGAATTTCTCGATCTGGGGAGCCTCAAAGCTTCTACAGAACCAATTCACTGGGATAGTCCAAGCTATTTATACCAGCATAGACCCCGAACAGAAAATCGCAAAACTCAAGGCAGAGTTGCAAGTGCAAATGGTTCAACATGGTTCAACAAACTACTCTGAAGCAACAAAGTGCAGTGGCCAAGTTGTTGACCTATTGCCGGTATATTATGTTAACAATACAAAAGAAGAAACAACTATGAAACTAAGCAAACTGTTTGTGTATTTTTTTAAGCACCCCTGCCTCTCCTCCCCTGTCTGGCAAAATCAAAGGTATCAATGTTCTGCAGCGTATTTTCGTTTTTGTTTGGGTAAAAAACAGTTGGAAGATTACATTTTTTTAAAAAAAAAAAAACTAAACGCACTGCATCCCACCACAACAGGCCTAGTGGTTTGAAGGAACAAGCGGACACTCCAAACAGATCGGCATCCCACAAGTTTTTTGGCACCTTCAAATGCTAGTGACTCATGCATAGAATGCAGTGAACTTGTCCATTCCTGCCACAATACAATACCCTCTGGTAATTTAACATAGCTATTGAAAATGGCCATTTATAGTGAGTTTTCCCATTAAAAATAGTGATTTTCCATAGCTATGTTAGTTTACCAGAGGGTATCCAGCTGCTCCATGGTGCGACAAACATAGCCGCTATTTCCATCTCTCGAATACCATTGTCCTCCCCGAAGGCTGCCAATGTATCCGTCAGCACAATTTTTGTCCCATCCCAGCAGCAGAAGTGCCATGAAGAAGTGACGTTGGAGAACATGCTTGGCTGTGCATGCCAGCAACTACTATATAAAAAAAACACGGATATTGTCCAACCAGTTGATAGAGTTGTAGCTTTAGGACTGCCAATATATTGCACTATTCTGGGGACCAAAACGCTGCGTGGGAATTGTTTTTCACAATGGCGCAGGATGGTGCAGGTAGTGAAAGGGGGCTCACAGTCATGCCCTATCATGGTTAGTTGAGGTTAAGATTGAGAGGGTAACATGTTCAGCAATACCTTGCCTTTTGCAGGGAAGAGGCAAGAAGCCACGCGCCAAAAACAGGTTCACCATTTTTTGCAACTGTCGTGTGTGCAGAAGCAGAACCGCAACCCTTCTGAAGCTGACGCCAGAGCTGCCATGCACAATAAGTTCCCAAGACTGAAGCTAAAATAAGTGCCACGTGTATTGAGTGGGTCTTGGCCCTTTCTATCCACACGATTGCAGCTCCAACGCATGGTTTCAAATGAAGGGTTGACAAATTTGAATGGAAAGGCGGTGTCTGTTCCAAAGCCATCAGCAAGGCTACCTTACTGAGGAAGTGTGTAATGTCCTTCATTCGGACAGCTCTCTACTTGTGAAAAACCACTGTGGAACAGACGCACCAGACATTAATTGACATTCCTTCGGTGTCGCAAACATGTCATGGAAATAGATCATGTCATGAGCGCGACACAGGGTCACGCAAGTGGCACTTAAAGGAAGTTCGTCCTTGGTGTCTCTCTGGCAATGAGAACAATCACACACAAAATTCACCACGTGGAATTGCGAAGGTTCGCCAACTTTGCACTCTGGGATAAGCCAAAGGAAAACTGAAAAACAACTTGCAACGACCGAAATCAGAGGATTTAAAAACCGTTCCAAGATCCTATATTATGAAATTTGTGAACCAGCGTTTTCGTTAAATAGTCCTGCAGCAGCATCCCTTAAGAACAATACCAAGTTTCAAGTCCAAAATCAATGACAAACAATAAATCGTCCATCCGATCATAGGACATATGATATGTTTTATGTGTCAATATGGTCCAACACTTTCATACTTTTGGAGCAAAACCACTGACAGTCCAGGCAACCAAAAAACGGGCGTAAGCCAGAGCCAAGCTACCTGGACATCTTGTAGATGCATCCTTGGATCCACAAAGAAAACTCCGAAGTTGTTTCTATTCATTCAATCAGGTTCAGCCACGCCCCTCCAATCCAATCCTGAAACTTGCCTGTGTCGAGAAGTTTTTTGGGCAATTCTCTACACTACCATGAGCCCCAGCATGGTACTCGCTCTGAATGGGCACCTTCGACTTTCAAAACCCACTATAGAATGGTGCTGCACGCAAGACCGGTTCCAAGATTTCACAGCAATGAGAGAAATGTGTGTCAGGACATGTGCCGCTAAAACGGATTTCTTGGGAAGAAGACTTTCAGTTTGCTGGTCCCAAAAGAAAACGGAAAGGCAACCCATCATCATGATCGAGAGGTTGCACACTAAAAGGTCAGCACGGCATTTTGGGATCAGATCGTAGACCCCCAAAGCAGAAATTGATTGACTGATTGTGTAACGGAAGGGAAACATGCAAAGGCCAACCACGGTACTTGGCACATCTTGGCACACATCGGTCACCACAAGGGTACTCAGCTCAAGGCACAGCATGCTCATCCAAACAAAATTTTGCAACCGAGGCTTTGCTGCTGCAGAATTCTCAAATTCTTACTCTTGATGTGGTTTACATGGTACTTGGATGTGCATCACAGTAGTGAGATCCCATTTCACCTGGGTTATGACCCGGTTGTTTCCTGCACCTCCAAGTGGGGGCCTACGGATTGATGGAGGTCGCTTTTGGTGTCTTGTGCCACGCAGTCTGCCAAGCTGCCACGCCGTGCGATCAATACACCACATGTGCTGTGATGCTACCAAAAGTTCAGATCCACCCAAGGAGTAGCAGTTGCCTGTTGGATTTTATTTTGTTTTTTTTTCTGAAAAGGTTGTGCCTTCGAGCCACTTGCAGTCTTCTCAGTCTTCCCGTCTTCTCAGTCTTCCCTTGGCACACAGCCAACAGCAGCGGTCTAGAATGATGGGCGTCCCAATCCAACCGTCCGAGTCAGCCAAAAAAAGGAGGTGGTTTGAATGAGTAGTTCCAATGATTGCTCCTATGGCGTACACTGTCAATGTTGCGTTCAAGTGCGTCTCCAAAATGGGGTTCAAAGCACTTGGACATTTTTTACCAATGAACCAACTAAACTTAGAAGATTTCCTGGGTAAAGATGGCTGTTTGACAATATATTACCTCAATTTACCATTGCCATCTATTTCCCATGGTACATCGTGGCACACATTCCACCTTCGGATGACTCTAGATGACCTTGAGCTATGGCCAAGCTGCCAAACAATCTTTCTCGCTGCAGCTTCCAATGCCTGGCGAAGAGATGAGCCATCGGCCATGGGTTGTGGGATGGAACGTGAGGAACGTGCTTGAAGGCCGAGTCAAATCCCTCATTTTGGTTGGTGTTACAGTGGTATGCAATACGTGCAATACAAATCGGCCGGATTTAGGGCTGATTCTACACTTGTTGCTTCGAACTGACTGAATTTCATGAATCCACTTTGACATGTCTCACTCCTGGTTGACTGAAAACGGGTCCCATTGGCAATGTTTCTGCCCTGCGCATCCGCCTGCGGCCAGGTGCCAAATGTGTCACGAAGGTAACCGTTGACCCGAAGATGCGTCAGCCCCTTGTTAGAGGGCAGCCATCTGGCCATGGCCTCGCACCATGGGTTGTCATCACAATCTTGTGTTGCTCGCGGCCATCCAAATCCAAGCCATGCAAAACACAGAATGATATTCTTATGATGATGTGAGTGGATGTTAAATTGCAAAATAACGACTTCCATATTGGCGAAATACGACTAACTTACCAAACTCTTCTAAGGGAATGCAACGGCGCGACGCTGCATCCCCAGAAACATCACCTAAGAATGCAGATTGAAAACTCAGCACGCCAGGTCCACCTGTGCAAAATCAACCGCAACCCAAAGCACCGACCCCGGCAAATTGGCCAACCCAAACCGCAAGCGCCTTAGCACCCCGTTCACCGATGCTGTTGTTTTTGAGGCAAAGTTCCTGCAAGGTGCGGCTGTCACGGACCAGGGCCTGGCCGCGGCTTGCGAGTCAGGATCCAGATGTTTCCCGGCCTAGCGAGGCACCAATGAATTCAAATGGAAAATATACAGCATAGTTTGTGCAATCAAACTACCAATGGACGGAACTGGGAAGTAAAAGACAACTCCGAACATAATGGAACAACTACGTGTAAAAAAAAAGAAAACATGTGATGCAAAAAGGCAAAGCAGTTATCGTTCTGGCAATTGCAAATTCAACACAGTAACCCTGTCTCAAAGCAGCCCGGACTTGCCATTATACCGTGATTTCGAATTAATTTTGGATCAATAAAGTCCAACTGCGCACGAATCGATTGTCTCACCCCACCCAAGACACAAGACCCCAACTGCTGGTGCCTCAGCACCGACATCACCAATGTTGTTGTCGCAGAGTTTAAGCCACTGCAAATTGCGGTTGCGTGTGAGGCTTATTGCCACAGCCTGGCCGGGTGGCTATGTTTTTCTTCTGGGCATTCAACACTTAGATAAATCTGCGGTGCTGTTGTGGTATCTTTGTCACCTCCTATACACCTTCCTTTAACTTCACACAAACTTCACAACGTCTTGGAAACAGCGCTTCTTGCCCTGGTTCCAAAGAGGCCCAGCTGCCCAGATCAGTGAACAGGGACAGGCCACAGGCGCCTGCGCACCCCGATCGGTGATGCTGTTGCCTTCAAGGTCAAGTTTCTGCAAACAGCGGCCTTTGCTCCGAAGGCTTCGGGCCACTGCCTGCAATGGCCACGGCGGGACGTGGAAGGGAGGTTGGGATGGCGCGTAGGAAACGAAAATCAGGTTGGATGGGTGTAACAGCATTTGTTTTGCCAAAAAAATGTCGAATCTTGATCAACGTCGCTTCCACGTTAGATAAAACTTCCCTCTCTCACAAAATGAAGCCTCTGCCCGGCCGGAATCTCTACCCTTCGGCACTGTTTGAACCACAGCCCGACCCCGACGCCAGCGTCTGGCGCACCTCAGCACCACGATCACCAATGCTATTGGCCTGGAGGTAGAGCTCACGCAAATCGCACTTCCATCCCAGGCTTTCTGCCAGGGCCTGTCCACCAACCCACAATAAGCCGACCAGCTAAGCAGCAAAGAATACAGCGTGACTTCGTGCAACCGCTGGTCTGCCACAATAATATAGAATATACACACACATCTGAATTATATGCATATAATTCAAATTCCATCATATATATTTACATAATATATATATATATATATCAACTCAAGCACGGTCAGTTGTTTTGCAATCCCTCTGGGTCTGTCACAAGTTCAAGGTTGTTTTTACAACCGATTTCCATCCCATTCTGCAGCTTGATGGGCAGGAGGACGAAGGACTGGGTCGGGAAGCTTGAGCGAACAACACCGGAGCAGTCGTGGATGCAAAGGTCATCAACTCAAGCACGGTCAGTTGTTTTGCAATCCCTCTGGATCTGTCACAAGTTCAAGGTTGTTTTTACAACCGATTTCCATCCCAACTCTTCCATCCAACTTTGCTGACACGTACTGTCATTTTTCAAGCTGCAGTATGTTGTTCCATAAGCTCGTAGGAACCTTTGCTTTCTGGAATCCCGTCGCCCTTGTCAAAAGCTTTGGGAAGTGGGCAGCGAAAAGGAGAACCCTTTCTTTTGCACAGGGAGGAACTTTTTGGAGGTAAAGGACTGCCATGCTTTCTTGTAGGTAAATGCTCATTGTTTTCGCATTCAACCAGCGTCCCCTGCGCATCACCAAATCACTCTGCTCTGTTGTTGAAATTAACCATGTTGCGCCTCCGGAGCGCAAAGAGCCAAGATCCAGTGGTTTCAGCTGCAGTGTTTTGGTCACCGGCAAATGAAGAGCACAAAGAATCTGCTTCAGTCTGTTCCTCAAAGTTTGACCGCTCCCTTGCCAGAGCTTTTGCTCAGGCTTCAGAGATCCAAAAGCCATATCAACCACGCCTATCAGATCAGGTATGTCCAGTTTTGCGACTTGATGCCGCGCAGCAGTCAGCCTAGTCTTTGGCTCTGGTATTGACACCAGAGCAAAATTGACTGAAAACTGAGCATCTCTCGGTAGTGATAGCTGTGAACGAAAAGCTGCCAGAAACTCACCCGCTCTTAGCAGTGCGCCCCACATCAGCGCTAGAGCTCCAGCCACTTTGTCCCAGCCCCAGAGAATCGCAACTGAGATGCATCCTAACAAAACCTGAAAGGGCATGGCCACATGATGAGCCGACGGCTCTTGTTTCACCCAGCTAAAAGCGTAGTCCCAAGCCATCTGAAGCATGCGCCTCAACAAAGGTTTTCTAGACACCACCAGGTTTATAGTCTCCAAGTAGTGGTTGTACGGCCTACCAGCAGCGTAAAGTGCCTTCCCAAACCGTACCAAAACCATGTTGATCTCGTCAATGCATTCGTGGTGTCTTTGCAGCATGAGGTCAAAGTCAATCTCATTTTCTGCTAGCCACGTACTGAAAACGGCTTGGTGCTTCTCTCTCAGGGCCAGTGTAATTGGTAAAACTGGCCGCGTCACTGTGGGTTGCTCCCGGAGAGCTCTAGCAGAGGCTCGCGCAGTATCGCCAGAATTTCGAGGAAACATCGGCATGGCTTGAGCACTACTAACTAAAAGCAAAATCCAGGACCTACGGGCTAAGTTCCCGGACCCTTGTCGTCCACGGAGAGATGAAGCACAGAGACAGGAGGCAGGAGAGAGAGAAGAGAAGAGGAACGAAAGCGGCAAGGTAGACGCAAGAAGGTGAGCTTGATGCCCAGTGAAAATCCAAAGGCAGACAAGTCCAAAAATGCCAAGGAGGATCCCGACATACCATCTCCGATTCCGGACCTCCTCCCAAGGCTCTGCACGACCTTCTCCAGGGAAACCCAAAGTGCTATCAAACTCAAACTGCCTCTCATGCCAACGCTTTGTAATCCTCGACTCTCCCAATCTAGCCTGCCTGAACTTAGATCTGTCTCGAAAAACCAAAACGCTGGGCCCAAGCAAAACCAAAACGAGCCTAGTCCAGTTTGCCGCCCATCGTCGCATCGGAGGGAAACATGCCATCTCAAAGAGCTCTTCTGTGTTGGCTGGGACCCTCTCCCCAGCTGGTTCTCTGAGTGGAACTTCTCTGGTGGGGTCGTCCGCAACATTGAGTCGTGTTGGCACAAAAGGCACCGTAAGGTAGATGCCAGCTGCCGTCACGCAAGAGCAAATCTTTCGTAAAACAGCTCCAAGACCCTTCGAGGAAGTCCTACCTTTCGAAACTGCTCCCCGCACCACCAGCGAGTCGGTCAAAGCCACAACTCTCGTATGCGAGGCTTCCTTTGCCAAGTGCATCACAAGCTTCAAGATGGAGGAGAGCTCCAAAATGTTGATGTGAGACAACTTTTTGAACTTCCATGAAAACAGGGTCTGCCACTTCTCCGTGATGGCTGTCTGGTTCACCAAAAGATTCTCCAAGCCCTTGGTCTCACTGCCCTCCTCCAGCTCCAGGACCTCCTGTTTCGCAAGCATAGCTAAACAGATGGTGCGCGCCAGCTCCAAAGAAAGCTTGGGAGTATATGTGGCCGAGGCCTTCGTGAACGCCCCTTGCACCAGCACATGCTTCTGTTTACATTTGCATCTCCGGGCCAGCCTGCAGAGTGGGGCGTGAACTGAGAGGAAACGAAAAGGCTTCATATGTATGGACCCAAAACAGCACGAGTCTGTGCGGCACATGTCTGAGGCCTCATGGTCACGCAGTGCTATGTAGCTAGGCAGTGCTCTCATCCTTGAAGAGAAAGTAGTTTCCAGAATGCCAGAGACCTCATTAATGAGGCCGATGTGCATCATTTGAAAACTCCTCTGCGCCAAAAGTGTTCCAAGGGCTGTTGCATCATCTGTAGGGTCAAAACCAAAAGGCTGCTCCAGGCTCCTCAACTGTGGTCTCCTCATTATTGAGAAAGTGGTGCATGGAGGCTCCAGCATGAAACCTTTGATCTGTTCTGAGGCGCATAAGTGGGTGAGCCAACTCACAACATGTAAGTAACGGAGGTCATACTCTTCGCTCTCAGACAGGTCAATGCAGGGCCCCACCGAGAACCCCCAAGACTCCACCAACCTCGTGATTCCAGAAGCTCCAGAAAAAACCTCTATGAAGTCAAAACGGAAAGCAAGTGGGCGTCTCACTGGCTCTTCGTGCATGTGCTCCTCTACCTCCTCACCAATGCCCAACTGGCGCAGCAGTATCTCATGCTGGGACCTAAAACGGGTGTAGGACCCTTTTGACCTGCATGACTTCCACAAGACTTCGACCACCTCTTTGCTAGGCTGGCACTTGACGACGGCCCCCCTGTAGGAAGAGGCATCTGTTGCATACAAACAGTTATGGTAAGGTGCCGACAACTCGGTGACTGCAAGGGGCATCAAAATCGCCAGCATCACCAACTCATCCTTCAGAGCGCGTGTAAGCCGCACAACCTTGGGCTTGATGGGGTCAACATGCGCAGCATCCACAAAACTGAAAGCATGTCGAAGTATAGACATCAGGGGCCTGCGATACATCAGCATCGAAACCCAGGCCCCAACCAGACAAAGGTGAAGTGCATCAGTGGTGTATCCTAAAGCACACAGCTGCAAGGTGACAAAAGAGAGGGCCAGCTTCTTCTTCAAAGGCACGCCTAAGGTCACCAAACCCAACCTCCTCGCTCTAGCTGAAGCGTTCATCTGGGCTCCAATCACCTTGGCCTCGTCCTCTCCAACTACATCTTTGTCGGGGCTGCCTAGCAAGCTGTGCTCCTCATACTTCTGCCTCGCACCCAAAAGAAACCTCTCTGACAAAGAAGCCCCTCGAGCTCTGTCCTCCGGCTCCACCGATACGCAAAAGTAGTCATCAATGCAAAGGCCCTGAGCGAAACTGCTCGAACGAAGGGGAGACTGCGACTGCAACCTAGTACCTTCATCCAAGAGCCCTGCATCCTTCAACAGCTGTGTATGGCCTTCAGTGGCCAGGTCAACTCCTGCATGATCCCCTTGAAAAACACTGCCAAACGCGACCCAACATTGCCCAAACTCTCCTCTGCTTCTCCTGTGACTCGGGCTTCGCATACCAAGCTGGTCTCCATCCCTGAGGCGGTCATACATCTGCTTCTGCATCAAACCTAGCAACTGCGGCCATACCTGTGTCTCCTCAAGCCATTCTGTGGGCAAACCAGGGCCTACTGTATTGCAAAGCGCTCTGGACCTAGTGACCCAAAGCTGGTGGTAGAAGTCCCTCCGGTCTGTTGCGCAAATCGACAGAGTTTGGGTAGAGGGGTCAATGACCAAATCCTGTAGATCGGGTCCAGCAGGAAGCCACCTGGAAGGTCCTACCACTCTTGCTTCTATGCTGTTGCGGCCACGACGGTCTCCTATCTGCCGGTCACATGTTGGGTTCTTCAAGGCGTTAAACACCCGAACCAGTTCTCCTCGTCTATGCTCAAAAGACTGGTCAAAGTGAGCGACCAAAAGACCATGCGAGTCCCAGAGCTTCGCAAGCTTGAAGACCTCCTCAGGCTTGTCACGTATGACAGGGCAGTTACTAGGCTCTCTCCTCAACTGTATGACTCTTGGGTCTCTGTAAACCATGACAAGTTCATCACCCAAAAAATCGGTGATGTCCCATGCGCCTCTCCCGTGAATGCTAAGCCGTGCTGCATCCAGATCACGGTATGGTTCGAGCTCTGGCATTTTTGCATTGTCCACGGGAGGCCCCTCGGTATACCCAGGAAAAGTTCTGGTGTAGGGGCTAGCCGCAATGCCATGGGCTGTCACAAAATCAGACAGCTCAGAAAGTCGTGCAGTCAATTCCGGAAACCTCCTCCCAGCTTGAACAATTGGAAAACTGAGATTCGGATCATCCGACTTCACCAAGGCCTTGAGGTGCTTGATCAAAGCAGTGTGCTGCCGGTTCAGGCCTCTCTGCAGCTTCTCTTTCTCCACAAAAACTCCACCACTGTGCCAGAAATTGAGAGCCATGATCATGACGAAAACGACCTTATCCAGCAGGTGAGGCTTGGAGAAACTCCTAGGCTGAGAAGTGGCAGGCATCCCATTGAACAGGCTCCAGAACGGAACTGGAATGGGGAAGAAAGTCGGTGCAGGAGACAACCTCTCTGGCTTCTTCCTGGAGGTTCTGATTGCAAAAACAAGGAAAGCAGCAAAGGGGCACCTGGCTCTAAGTGCTCCAGAAACCAAACGAGCACACCACTTCGGATATGAGAGAGTGGTCTCCAAAAACTTTTCGCCAGGAATTTCTGTGCCAAAAACTAAATTCTCATGGTCATGCACGTCCTGGCCTTCCGAGGCTAGGACCCTGCTTCTTCGTTCTGCTTGGGCTTTCGAGGGAAGCGAGGTTTCCGCTTGGGACTCGCGCTCCCCCCTTCCTCCTCCTGATCGCCGGTGGCGCCTGTAGGCTTCTTTCCCCCTTTCAGCTCTCCCTTCTTGGTGATCAGCACATCCACCTCCTTGATGTAAGCAAGTGTCGTAGCTGCTAGGGTTGGAGGAACCAGGTTTGCAAAAGGCTTCCCCACCGCTGCAACTGCTTGAGGGCGACCCTGAAACATCACTGGAGGTGGCTCCTCCAGCAAGGTGAGGTGGTATGCTATCCTCCAGTCTCCATCCGTGGCAGCTTGCTCCAGGGCCAGGGCTAAAAGGGCCAGAAACTCCTGGCATGACTTGTGGTCCCCATGTGCTGAGGCGTCGATTGCATGAGCTAGGACCCACATCGTCATCCCTACTTCCCCCGCATTTCTGAAGTTCCCAAAACGCTCCAAGTAATTGCACATGCTCATCTGGCTCCCTAGGAGATCCTCTTCCTTCTGTGGCACTGACTTGGCTGGGAACATCTTTCGATGCATCTGCTGATGAAGCTGGATGAAAAAGGTGGAGGACTGTCCGGCAAGATCTGCTTGCAGCTTCTGTCGCCTTTGCAGGCCTTTTGTAGACGCTCCAAGGGATCCAGGCACACTTCCATGCAGATCGGTCATAGCGTCTCCTCCCCCGGCAATGTGCGCCACCAATGCGGTGACTGCCGCTGACTGCTGTGTCAGGGCTGCCAGCACTGAGTCCTGATGATCTGAGCTCTGAAGCACATCTAACGGCTCGTCCATGTCTACCCCTAGGCCAGGCAAAGTAGACCCCAATGCGGCATGCAATGCCTTGGTCTTTGGCGGAGGCCCCAACGTTTTTGCCAGCGCCCCCAAAGTCGAGGCTTTCGGCGGAGACATAGAACTGGAGAGGGCAGGCATCTTTGGTCCTGAAAGAAGTCCTCCAGGCATCTGCGCGGGCACATCCTTTGCAGAAGCCTCGCCTAATAGGTGCTGCTGTAAAGCCCTCTGGGAGTCCATCAAAGCAGTCACCTGAGCGGTCAATGACTGCACCTGCTCGGCCAGAGCGGCATTGGTGGGCTTCCGCAAGCCGGTTCCAGGTCTTTTTGCCGCAGCGGCACCTGCTTTCTTGGGAGCGGTGGCTGGGATATGCTCGTCTCGAGCGCTGTAAAAATTTGCCCTGGTCGCCGCAGTCTCTGCCCAGGCCATGACCTCTGCAATCGCCCCTTCTAGGTTCGGCAAGGCATTGGGGTAGCTGGCATGGAATGGTGCTATGGCTTCTGTGGAATCTGTGACAGGATCATATTCTCGCAAACTGCTAATGATCCCGTCCGAAAAGTCAACACACAGAGTGGGGACAGAAAAACCTGTCCGTTGCACCAGACCCTCATCATCCTCCTCCAAGAGCTCCAATGTCAGGACAGTGGAAGGTCCGATTACGGCCTCATCATCTGCAGATTGGCCAGCCGCCAGGACATCATCCGTAAAAGTTGCCTCTGGGAGTGCCAGCAAGATGCCTCCCTGACGCACGGCAATAGGCACTGCAAAAAACTGCCTGTCTTCCAAAGCTTCGTCTCCGTCCAAGCTGAGCACCAGTGTGGACGGGTCCCCTGCTGTTGCAGGCTTTATTTTTGACTTCTCCATTGTATCTGCTTTGGGAGCGAAAGGCCAGCTCCAGAGCAAAGGATATGCAGCTCCGTCAGAGAAGCTACAGACACCAGGATGCTATCTGCCTCCTCCCACAGGGCCTTGACGCAGTCAGACTTCCGGGTAGATCTCACAGGCAAACCTCCAAGGGCTCCTCTGAAAACGATCCAATGGGCTGGATTCAATCCCTTCAAACTCTGCGTGTCCTGAAAGGGAGTGCTTGTCTCAAGGGCAATGCGAATCCAAAAACCTGTCTCAAAAGCCGCCTCGGCTCTCTGCAACGGGGAGAACTTGCCTGGCTTGAGATTCCTCTCGGCTAGATCTTTGCAGATCAAAGGCAGCACTGGCGGCCCGTCTTCCACAGAGAATTCGGGAGAGGCCGTCACAGGGACCCAATCCGAAAAACTCTCGCCCTCAATCACCTCCCAAGTCTCTGCTGCTTGCGTGGTAGGGTGAAGCCTACCGGACGACAAACGTAAAATCTCTCTTTCCAAAAAGATCACCCGCTCTTTCAACAAACGATTCTCCTCCTCCAAAACCCCTCTATTCATGCACTAAATATCCTGCCACTCTTGACCTCCTTTTCTCAGGGATGCCAGGGGAAGGTAAATCAGAGGATGGATAGGAGGGAGTGGAAGAAGATGGTGGATGACGGGGATGTTCAAGGCCCTCGTGCTGGGGGGCTACAAGTCCAAGTCCAAAGCCCAGTCTCTGGAGAGACAGAAGGACCCAAAGTCCAGTTAGGAGTCCAAGGCAAAGTCCAATGCCAATCCCAGCCACGAAGGAAGAGAAAAAATTGCCGGAGCAATGAGCAGGGCAAGAGAAGAGCCAAGAGTAAGTGGACAGAGAGTCAAGGATCCGGGGAACCTGCAAAACCCAATCCATGAAGCTTGAGCGAACAACACCGGAGCAGTCGTGGATGCAAAGGTCATATTATATATATGTGTGTGTGTCCTGAAATACAAGAAAAATAACACAAGAACATTAGAACTTGGGGATGACAAGAACGAAAGGCAAGGGAACTTTTAATTGCACCAGACACACTTGGAACGGCAAGCAACATGGGGCTTTGACACGTGGATAAAATATGGAAGATGCGATGCCCCCGGACAAAATCCTTGAATATGAGAGAAGGCATTGACACGACATAGAATCACCATGACTACTTAGAAATTTTAAAAAGCGGGACTTCAGATCGAGGCGAACAAATACGAAACGTGACCATTCTAACAAGGACCGGTAAACTATGAGAGCGACGACCAGCTAGAAGAATCGAAAATTCTGCAACAAGAGTTCCAAGAAAAGAAACATAGCCAAGATCAATTGGCCAGAATGCGCTCTGGTGGCAATTGAACATAAATAGAACATGAGTCTACTGGTATGACTGGGTTTCTTTGCTTGGGTGGGCCTGAAGCATGCCATTGTTTGTCGCGCTCAAAATTAGTGGTACCAAAGTGCAAAAAGTGCACAACCTCAACATGACCCTTGGTGATCCAGACAAAATCATGCTTAGGAAGCTTGCAACATTGTCAACATCTTCCATCTTTCACAGGCGCCCTTGGATGCACAGCTAAGAGGTTCCGCTGTGCCGCAGGCGCCTTGGCCCCATGGTCACCGATACCATTTCTGCCGAGAAAAAGCGTAGACAATTTGCAGCCAAAGAAGCTGCGGTTGTCCCAGAGGCCGCGCGCCACCGCCTGACCGAATAGCGATAAGGAGAAGGGGTTGTGTTCATTTGTCCTGGCCTGGCAAAGCACAAAAAAAGGCAAGGGATCCCAGACACTGCATATTACGCTGCGGTAGCTACCTGAAGGCAACGAAGGTTGTGAATTGCACTGCAACCGCTGTGTTGAAGGTGCATCCAGGTATTAGTGCTTGCACGCTGCTGCTCAGCTCACTCATTCGTCCATCCATTCATGCATTTCTCCATTCAGTATCATTCAGTCAGTCGTTTAGCAGTTCATTCATGCCAGCCGCTCACCCGTGCGCTCTTTCACTCACTCGTTCGTTCATGTGTGCTCCATCAGCCAGGCGGTTTCTTTAATCATTCGCTCATGTAATTTAATTTAATGTGTTTCATTCTTTTATGCAACAGCAGCAAGAAGAACCAACAAACTCACGCTCTCCTTTCGTGGCCCCAAGTGAGACAGCAATTCCTGAATTCAACTTGTCGGTTCTAGAGGCATTTGCTTTGGTCAATAGCGTAGTCGACAAGAAGCTTGAAACGTAGAATCAAAATAACAGGAACATAAAAGCGTAGAACTAAGCCAACAGAGCAGTTGCTGCTATAGAATCAGGTCAAAAGAAGAGTTGAAATAGAGGAGTTGCAGCGCAAACTTAGGTCAACAATAGTTGAAGCGCAGGGTCAAGTCAACAAGAAAGTTGAAACGTAGAATCAGGAAAATCGAATCAACAGGACAGTTGAACCGATGCATCAAAGCAACAGGAAAGCTGACGAGTAGAGTCTGAATAAAGAAATAAGGGGGTCACAACAAGTCACAACACGCAAACAAATTCACACATGGCACAGCAAACATAACAACTGTCATACAACAAACTACCACATGACCCAACGCAATTACGCCCCCTACCCACCCAAAAATCTCGCACCCAACATGGCGTAAGCATGCCTGAAGCAGGCCTCATGGATGACCATGTGTTTTACAATTGACAATATAGTGTCGTTCTTTTTCGACTTTGAGAGTCCGGAGAAGTGCCCGGCGGCCTTACATACCCCAACGTGGTCTCAAGACATGGCCCCAATATGGCTCCAACATGGCTCCCCATTATAGCTCTGACATGGCACAACATGGCCAAACCTGGCACCAACAAGGCTCCAACATGGCCCAACATGGTGCAACATGCGCCCAACATGGCTCCGACATGCGCAACCTTGCCCCGACATGGCCCTTTTCTGACCAGTGCCCAGCTGTCACGCGTAAGCCTTTAAATCAGCCGATGCCATGTGGAGTGTGCTGCGCACAGCGATGCTATCTGCGCCTTGCTTTAGCTATGGGCGCGCACGCACGCGCCGCCCTTCACCAAAAAAAAGATTCAGCATAGTTGCTGGGAAGTTCTTCCCAGCAATCAAAAATCGAGTGACACAAAATATGAGTTTCTGGAATGATGTTCCCAGGAGGTTCCCCATGCTGAAAAGATTACGAAAATAATCGCTCTCTTTTTGAGTGTCGTTCAGTGGGCTGAAGGAAGAAGCACTATATTTTACATTGCTATGTTGGTTTTGCTTTGCCAAATCTTTAAAACTTGACAGAAACACTGTAAAATGGTGGTGCTTTTGAAGGGGCTAAACAGAAAACACCAGAAAAATGTTTGAAAGGTAAACGCAAAACCCTGAATATCACACTGTCTCGTGCTGTTTGAAGCTCAAAATTGATGTTATTAATGCGGACTGTTCACTCCTCTCTGTTCAAGTTGATCCAGTTCATTCGCTTCAATCATGTCATTCAGTTCGTGCATGCAAGTGGTAGATGTCATGCCATGTCGCTTTCATTCTGTACCATTTTGTTTTCTTCATTTCATGTCATGTCATTTCATCCGTTCCACACCATTCCATTCCACTCCGCGGCTCCACTCCATTCCATTCCGTTCCACTCTCCTGTTCATTCGTTAATTCCTTCGTTCAATCATTCCGCCAATTTGGTTTGATTGAACTTACATTCATTTCAATTGAATTCAATTCAGACCCAGTCATCTGATCATTGAGGTCTGTTCAGCCCAGTCCACTCAATATCAGTATTCTTGTGTTCGTTCATCTTGCTCTCATTCTCTTTTGAATTTCATCTCCAGTATCTTCATGTTGCTTTGTGTCATTCATTCATTCATTCAGTCAGTCAGTCAGTCATTCATTCATTCATTCATTCATTCATTCATACATTTATTCATTCATTTATTCATTCGTTCGTTCGTTCATTCGTTTGTTCATTCATCCATTCATTCGGTTGTAGGCCCGGATTACCTTCCCATAGGCACCTTGCTTACTGTCGCTGTGTGGCAACATCTTTGCAGCGCGTTTGACGCACTTTGACTTCCAAAATATGTCCACTGATTGTTTGTCAAGTCTTATGCGAAAAGTGCCACCGACCTACAACATATCCTAGCCATAACCCAAACCGCAGCTTAACTCCCTGCACAAAATTTCGCCCCAGGCATAGGCACCTCAGCACCACTATCACCAACGCCGCAACCATGAAGGTCAAGCACCAGCAAACAGCAATTCCATGCGAGGCTTTGCCCAATGGCCTGGCGGCCGATGCTCAAAGGAGCCTTTGCTAAGTGAATGGAGGCCAGAATCGCCAGGTACTCGGTCCAAGGGGCTACCATTAAAACAGTTCAGCCATTCAATGAACCATATGAAAACTGATATTGGCAAAGTTCGGCATTCTCTTGAGACCTACCATGCACAAAATCCGCTATCTAAAATTTTTGGTGCCAACTCAAAAACTTGGGAAAGGGGGACAGATAAGGTGGATTGATGGCTGACGGGCAGTGAAGTGCGCATCCGTGTCTCGGTCAAGTGCAGTGAGCAAACGGGTGTTCATAGTTTTGTTGTTGATCTGCTGCTGCTGCTGCTGCTGGTGATTCCCCACACCTTTGTGTGGGGTTCTTGCTTTTCTGCCTTGCATCCTTTTTCCGTCCTCCTTTTTCTCTGTCCTCGTCCTCCTCCTCCTCCTCCCGCCGGTCCTCACTTGTACAACTTTTCTCTCCATCACTAGACTGATCTCCACCAAACTCAATCAAACTCCCCTCTGTCACAACGTATTTCCATCGCGCTTACCTCTTTCATTCTCTGCTTAATTTTCCTCTATCGTTTGCTATCGCAACCTGTTGCTTCACGTGGCAGCGCAGCACTTTGTGTGCATGGGTTGCGTTTCGCGCGGAAATGCATGTACCTACAATCTCTTACACATCCTCGGTTTCTCACTCACAGCCATGACCCAAAACCTGGAGCCCTGCAGGTGCCTGAGCACCCCGAGAACCGATGCTGTTGCCCCTGAGCGTAAGCTGCAGCAAAGTGTCATTGCTTTCCAAACTCTCTGCCAGGGCCTGGCAGCTTGAGCAGAGGCGCATTCAAAAGACACGATTCTTCATAAAATCACAAGGCGATTTATCCATTGAAAATGTCTGGGAAGGCACCCAAAACCACTGACCTACAACAACCATCAACAACCTGTCTCAAATCTCCGCCCCTTAGCCACTGGAGGTTCTTGCCCTGTTTCCAAGCACATCCAATGGCACATAACACGGCCGCCCCTCGTCGACACCTCACCACCGCGAGCACCGATGCTGTTTTGTTCGAGGACGAGACACTGCAAACTGCTATTGCGTTTGAGGCCATCCGCCAGGGCCTGGCCAATCGGTAGGCGAGGTAAAATCAAGGAGACCAGTGGACAAATTTTGTGAGGTGAAAAGGAATCAGGAGGCCCTGTTGGCTCTGATCACCTGACGAGAGCCTCTGGAGTAGTTCATTTGTGGCAAGGGCACTTAGTTCATTTCTTGCAACGGTAAAACATGTCAAATTAACTTGATATGCCTTGATCAGCGTTATTACTTGCCGGCTTCTATCTCTCGCATCTATTTCACCTTAAAAACATGGAGACCACCCTTCGTACCGTAGCGGCAGAGGTCCAGTTCCGCCCCCTGGCACAGTAGCCACATCCGCAACGCCTGAGCACCACTGTCACCGATGGTGTTTGCCTGGAGGAACAGCTTGTGCAAGCTGTCATTGGTTTTCAAGCTCGCCCCCAGGGCCTCGGTGCAAAGTGTTGTCCCTGTCCCCAATATTATCTTTCTTGGGCCATCATTTCTATGCATGAACGTGAGGTGTGCAAAATGAATTGGTTCGTGGCATTCAAAATGCCAGGCTTGTGACATCTTTGCTGTTTTGGCAATCATGTGCAAAGTAGGGTGTGTGTTTAGTATAATAAACATTCTTTGGCATGCCTGCACATCGTCCAATTTGGGTGATCGGGTTTCATCACGCTTCAAAAAATGATATTATTACAGTATGTTTTCTCTATGTATCCTGAAACTGTGATTGATTTTCGTGTATCCTATATAAAACCTTTTTTGTTCAACGAGAGGTGTCCTTTCATTCTCCTAAACTTCTATACTCTAAACATAATATGTTTCCCAAAAGTATGTTTCTCTTCAGTCTCCTCAGCTCATCATTTTTCAAAAGTAATGGTTCTGTGCATGTCTCCTTAGTTTCCATGTTCATCTTCAATATCAGTGATGGAATCGTTTTCGGGTTGTGGCTCCGAAGCCTATCATCTGCTGAACTTAGCTTTCAGTGTTTGAAGTTTTTACAGGACTTAAAGGTTTGACTTTTACCCTAGTTGTGCAACCAGTTCGTGTTTTTCCTGGTAAGAGAATTACAAAAATGTCTTGAGTCTTGGACCAAAGTGTTTGCTTTGCATATGAGTGCATTGGTTGTTGGATGTATAATAACCATTCTTCTCTTCACATCTTGAAAATTATCTTGGTTTGTTTTCATTTCTCCTCAGTTCACCATTCTTCGGAGAATATGTGTGTTTCATGTCTCCCAAGACTGTGATGTTTTTTTCCTGTCTCCCAAACTTGTCACTTTTTGAAAGTCATGGCTCCTTTTAAAATACCAGGTTCTGCTCGTGCCTTCTGAATGTATCATCTGTTTGAAATGTGTTCCTTTTCATGTCTCCCAAAATCAGAATGTTGTTCATTATGTTTTATGTCTGCTGAACTTACTGAATCATTTGTGTGAAAATAATGGTTGCGTCCATCTCTCCAAAGTAGAATATGTTTTGATAATATTGATAATATTTATATAATTGATGATTCTGTGTCTTCCAATTTGGTATAGAAAGAATGTGGAAAGGGCGCGGCCCTGAGAAAAAGTACCTGGGAAGAGAGGTAGCTCAGAGAAGAGTTGCTTCAGTGAAAGTTTGCTCAAAGAAGAGCTGGCTCAGAGATGAAGTGGGTTGGAAAGGGTGTGGACATGATCCAGTTTGGGTTCTCGTCTTCTATCATTGTGGGCTGTTTCTCTCCATTTCTCCTGAAACAAGCATGTCTTCTCCTCATATCCAACCTGTGACTTTTCAGAAAGCACATGTTCAGTTCATCTCTCCTAAACTTATCATTTTTCACTCTATGTCTCGGAAAAATGCAATGTGCTTGCACAGCGAACCCATCAGCCCTATTGCACCTCTCCGCCCTCGTCCCCGATGTCGTTGTTTTCAAGGTTTAGGTGCCTCGTCCCGCTGGTTTGCAGAGCTTCGGCCAAGACCTGCAGGAAGCCGGGGCCCACCGCGACTTTAGGGGTAAATGGACAGACCTGGGGCATCGAGGGGATGATCCAATAGGCACTTGACTACTGACTCCTTAATACTAAAGTTAATCAATGCCACCAAAATCAGAACAAGAAACAGAACCCTTATCCAGTGTGTTTGTTCAGTTTGCAGGCGGTTACCTGTGAAGACCCCCTTCCTAAACAAGCAAGTACCGTTGACCCGATGGCTTCACCCAGAGGCCCGGAAGTTCCAACGCGGCACCTTGGCGCCAGAAGTGCCCATGTTCCGGCCACCAAAATCACACACCACCTTCGATATGGTCCACAGAGACCCAGGGAGATGCAAGGCTTTCACGAGGTTGATGTTACAAGCAGGCCCTCCACCTCACAATGGTCAGCACATCAACTCCCCAGACCTCTCTCCTAGCCTCCGCTGCGAAAACTGCAGCAATGCGGTGCAGCGTCTCAAGGTCCTGGTCACTGAGATGTTCAAGGTCCTGCGCGCAGATGCAAGCCAAGCAAACCAGAAATACCTACCCCGTTTTGTTGTACATAACTTGTTAATAATTATATATACTGTTGTACCTATGCCACCATTTTCCTGGCTACCTGATGTTTGCATAGAGATCTTGGCGTTTAAACTCCAGACAAATGTGAACACTCAAAACCAATTTCACGTGGTCTTTGCAAGCTGGCTGACAGCTGTGGCTATCCCGCTGATTTCCACCCCGCGGTGTTCCACCTGGTTTCCACTTCGCAGTCCCATAGCATCGGGTCCTCCAAAGCTCGGCTCATGAACCGGCAGCAGTTCATCTTCTCAACAAAAACGTTCAGATACGGTAGGATCAGCTTGAAAAGCTGCCTGTCATCCGTAAGCTCTGCCTGCGTCTGGGAATGTAGCAATCAAATAGATGTGATCCAGAGTGTCGCTGATGCCAAGAATGGCAGGTTGATATGATATGATTGATGCCGCTATGAATTGGCAGTTTGCAAAGCGTATCTTGTCCATCGAGATATACGCGCAAGGTTCAGGCATAATCAGGGCGCTTCAGGACCAAAGGTTTTCAAAAGAGATCTGTTTTCTTTTTATATAAATAAACTCAGGTGCTATCCCCAACAGCTTGAAAACTTCGGCATGTTTGTCATAAAGAGTGTTTATGCCATCAAAATTAAGCGCTTATGTCATAAAAATTATATAAGTGCTTATGCCATTAAAAACATCGGAACCCTTTGGAATTTCACAAAGCATCTGCTCACAAGGTATCTGCACCGGAACCTTCCGGAACCTCACAAAGCATCTTCTCCGCCAAAACCCTCCGGGCCCTCACAAGGTATCTGCCCCAGAACCCTCCGGAACTCACCACGCATCTTCACCTAGACCCTCCGGAACCTCACCAGGTAGCTGCACCGGAAACTTCCAACACCAGGTTCTGGACAAGGTTCCGGAGGGTTCTGGTGCAGATACCTCGTGAGGTTTCGGAGGGTTCCGGTGCAGATACCTCGTGAGGTTCCGGAGGGTTCCGGTGAAGATACCTGCTGAGGCTCCGGAGGGTTCTGTGCGGTTCCGGAGGGTTCTGGTGCAGATACCTTGTGAGGTTCCGGAGGGTTCCGGTGCAGATGGGTATGAGGTTCCAGAACCAAGGGCGCCACATTCGCAGCTCTGCCCTTTTCCACAGCGGGATGTCGCATAGTCTTCCAATGGGCTTATCGAGATTCGACTAGCCAGCAGGAACGGATGCACGATCAGTCTCGGGGCATGCAAAGGAACTTGAGAATTGCTTGACAAGCTGCGGCCACGATCCAAGGTGCAAGGTTGTCGACCTGACCAACGGATGCTGGATATGCAGAAGGATTGGATATGTATGGGAGGTGGTACAGGATCAACCCCTCTTAACTCAGGTTGTCCTTGGCTTGCTTTGCAACTTCAGGCATCTGCGACGGATGAACACGAACAGCATGGTCAATTTTCCATACACCATCACGTACTGCAGTTTGCAACGGTTCACGGTCAACTGTCCCTTTATTCAGTCCATCAGCCAACATACATCTTGTGTCACACCATATCATCCTCTGCAACTTACCAGTTGCCAGCAGCTCTCGCAACTTCAGTCCATGTATCGTCATCGTCGAGTCATGAGGGATTCTGGCCTCATCGTGCGATATATGATCATATACTGCAGCTGCATCTATCACCAAATCGGAATCCAGTGACAACTTACCATCTTCGAAACGACTGGCCAGCTTTTCGGCTGAACATGTACCTTCCAACACTTCACACATCGTCAGAGAAACATTGAAAAGGAGACCGGCCAGGTCCAAAGCACTGTACATCTCAGCAGCATATGTCGATCGGCAGACTCTAGACTGTTTCTTTGAAACAAACTCTACAACTTGGATCTCATTGCATCCAAGCTTTGGGAAATCCTTGTTTACCAAACACACCAAACCACTTCGGACTGCAAGATGATCATCACCCTCACCTTTGAAACCTGAATCACTGATGGCAACTAAACGCCATGGATTGCTGATCCTTCTGAACCGCATTTCCAGTGGATTTCTTTTGATATACTTCAGAAGTCTGTTGAGGTTCTGAACATCAAGCACGCAAGGCTGTTGGAGTTTACGCTGCAGAGAACCGACATAAACTGCAACATCAAGACGGGTCTGAACAACCCATGCAACACCACCGTTCAACAGTGACCTGAACAAATGCTTATGGTGCTCATCAACAAGATCTTCTTTGGCCATCGTACGAATCTGAGTTTCTGGGATCTCACGAAGTTCGGCTATATAGTGCGTCTGGCTAACTGAGATACTACCATCGGGGTTTAACTTATGGGCCAGACCTAGATGGACGAAATTGTCCTTCTCCAACTTAACTGCATCAAAGTGGCTCTCAAGCTGTTTCACCACATCTTGCATGATGGACGGATGTCCACACAGCTTTATGTCATCAACATGAATGGTCATCAGCAAGACCAGTTCACCATTGCGGTGCATGCACAACAGCTGTGGATCAACTTTAGTGGGACTAACACCTATCTTAGTCAACACGCGTTTGAGAGCTTTCAACCACAATCTTGGAGCATCTTTCAAACCAAAACCCGGCTTCAACATCACCAACACTTCAGCATCAGGATCGAAGTCTGAGTAGCCCTGGATGGTGCGAAGGAGATGTTCACCACCCGGTGGAAGCGTGATCTGAACCTCACGCAACTCACCACCTTCTTCGTGCAGCTCACGGAACGTCAGTCCCCGTAAGAAAGCTTCTGAAATGTCGGCACTCCAAAGAGCCCACTTTCGCTGCACTGCTATCGTGACAAGGAGTCTCTGTCCCCATCGAGTGGATGTCCCAGCATAGGTATCTGTGGACTGCCTATCTGAGAAACCCTGGGCTACCAGGCGAGCTTTGATCTTTCGAGATTTAGTCTGACCATCTTGGATATCTTTCCACTTGAGTACCCATTTGGATTTCAAAACATTGGAGGCATCACTGAGCTTTCCACGTTTCCACGCGCCATGTTTGACCCATCGCATCAACTCAAGAATCATAGCTTCACGGCACAAATCCACATTAAGCAGAGCCTCATTTCGATCAAGAATATTATTCGTCCTTTCGATCACTGCAGTGGTTTCGGCACTGGATGCAAAGCTGAGACACAGCCATTCATTAAGATTGAGCTTTGGGCTGTGACGTGTCGTGGACAGCGTCACATAGGTCAGCATGTTGCCAGGCAGCAACAACTCAGGCGGCTCATTAAGATTGAGCTTTGGGCTGTGACGTGTTGTTAACAGCGTCACATAGGTCAGCATGTTGCCAGGCAGCAACAACTCAGGCGGCTCAGTGAGTTCTTCGGCACTCACAAAGTTTGAAAACTCACCGCAAACAACATGCCCGGGGCAAGCAGGCATTTCATCGTGAAAATTCCAAGAAAACTTATATCGGAGATTACATTTTGGAATTGGAAATCATAGGACGCATCATTAGCATCAGCAAACAGGCTGCTTGCTGCTTCATTCGAGGTTGGTACATTTCCATCTTGGTTCGGACTGTCTACTTCGGAGTTGGGATTTGTTTGAGGTGCATTCTGCAAAGGCTTGGGTCCTTTGGCACGCAACACTTCATCGGTTTTATCATTCATATCAGGCATATCAGGTTCATGCGATCCACCAAGGTGCGGTATATCAGGCGCAACTTGCCTGAGAGACATCACTTCTGTCATGTCAACCATCAAGAACTGGACAATTGCAGCATCTGGATCATTGGTTATACGTGGCACATTTAAAACTTGATTTCCAGGCAAGAAACAGTGGTACCACTCGGACAGTCCAGGCTTTTGCAAGTTCCACCACAGGAGGAGCGTGTCATCAAAAGCTACAGCTGGGAGATTATGCACGTTTACACCACATCTGAAGCCAATAACACCTTGCAAATTCATACAAACCGCCGACAAATAAAGTCCAGCTGCAAGCAAATTGGAATGTGTCCTATTGGCAAGACACTCAATCCGGTTCTGACCTTGACGCATCCACAAAAGTCTGACAGCACCTGATGTTTGGTTTTCAACTTCGGCTTTGAAAGTGCGAATTGGTCCGGACGGACGCATGAGGAATGTGAGATAAACCATAGCCGTTCTCACATCTTGGGTGCGCACTGCCAAAACTCTACCCTGCCACTTTACATGCAACAAACCATCTTGCAAACTTGTTAAACTAACTACTTCAGCAGGCCCATGCCATCCAGTAGTGTCTTTGTTCATGGGCTTTCTGTAGAATTCAACCAAATCACCAAGTTTCAATTCAAGAAGTTCTCCTGATCTACGTGTCTTGGATGAATCTGCAATCCTGGCTTTGGAGTCTGCAGTGGCTTGGATCATACTACTAATGGCAAGTCTTCGAATGGTGTAGGCATCTTGGTCAGAAATCCCTTCACCGGACTCTTCGCTGACCGTTGCCATCAGCGGCGGATGACGGCCAAAAATGGCCTCATAAGGAGTGGCATTGCCTAACTGGAACATGAACATGGCATTCTTTGCAAACACTGCTTCGGCCAGCACTGTCGAGAACGTCACGGCTAATCCTTCAGCATTGGATTGATCCTCCAGTAAGTGCAATTGACGACGGAGGATTTCATTATGGCGTTCAACCATTCCGCAGTGCTGTCCTCTGGCACGAAAACATACCTGAATGCCTCTTCGGTCCAGCCAGTCTCCCACAAGATCTGTGATCAAGCCGCCTTCCTGATCCGACAGGATATTTGTTGGTGGGCCAAACAACCTTACCCAACAGTTGGCAAATCCATCTATTATGGAACTAGGCTCACGGTTCGGCAACAAGCTAACTGAAGTCCATCGAGTGCAAGTATGCAATGCAAAACCACATGAGTTTTATAAAAAAGAGATCCATCTGCACTTCTTTATTGAAGGTTTCTGCAAGTCTGGTTGATGCAACTGACTTCGGACCAGGTCGTTGCCAATGTCTGCAAATATCACAAGTATCGATGATGGAGGGAATCATCGCAAGGATCTGAGGATTAACACCGGCAGCTTCCAACAACACTTGCATCTTTCTAGAACCCACATGATACCATCGCAGGTGCAATTTGCGCAGGGTGCGCCTAACTACTCCTTCTCTGATTGACCTCAATTGCTGGAGCGCGAAGCCAAGGTCGTGCTGCGTCCAAGCTGGCAGGCCATCTTTGGGAGGCTGTGCAACAGCTGCTACAGCTTGCTCGGCAGGCAAGGCAACTGCATCATCAGCAGGAGCATTGGGTCGCTCCATCAGCCTAGGCTCTTCAACCTGAACTTCAGAATTGGATCTGCGCTTCAAGGGCTGCGCTTTGTCCTTTCTCCGTTCCTCAGCCTCTTCAGGGCTCAAGATCTCAGGACACTCAGCTGATTCAACATCAGCTAGGGCTGGCTGCGCATCGCCTGGAACTCCATCTCCTCTGCCCTCACCTCGCATCCGAGAGGTTGGATCACTGGATGCTGGGACTCTCCCGTCCCTTGGATGAGTCGAGCTACGCTCGCGAGACGCACCTTCAGGCATAGAACGGGCAATCGCCCACTGGCAAGTATGATCATTTGTGTGTGACTCATGAGCACGGTTTCTTCGAGCAGCACAACCAGGACATGACCATACAATGCTTTCTATGTCTTTGAACTTACAAGTATCATCTCTAACATGCTTGGGATCGGTCTTACGCAAATGGCTCTTGCATGCTGGGCAGGTATATTTTGGAGGTTGAGGTGGATCTCCAGCTGGACCATCGGCTGGCTCACCGGCTGCAGTACTGGCTGTTGGAAAGTACTGAGCTTTGCATTCCTTAGACATCATGTCATGGATACATTCAACCACCCCAGCAGCAATGCGTTGGCAAAGAGCAATGGGCCAAACTTGCATATCACAACTCTTCACAGTTGGCTTATCAGAGTCAGACCAACTCCCAATATGCGCATGAGGATGACTTCCATCACATCGCAAGTTCTGAAGGTGAATCAAAAGCAAAGGATGGGTGGCCTTGCATTCAGTCGTCTTTCGAACAGGCCACCATGGAGACTTCGGCATTCGCAATCCTGTCATACATTGATCGAAAACTGCAGTGAAAAGATGTGGTCGGAGTTTCAACCATTCAGGCTCTTCAAACAGACCACTGCCGTGCGGCTGCTCAACAAATGCATGGCGTCCGGACGACAACTGTTCCACAGCAACATCGCCGCTAAGTCGGGCCAAAGGAACACTCAACTTTCGGCTGTTCAGCCAAGCTTCATAGTTGATTTTCTTATTGAGATGGCCCCACTTAGAGTAACCCTTACAAGGTGGCGCAAGAAGAATCACTTTAGGCTTATTTCTACGGATGTACGCAAAGAGATATCGGATATCTGCATCTTTGCTGAGGTCAATGCCGCAAGACAATTCAAAATTCACTCCAGTCTTCAAACCATGGTACTTCGCAAGCAAAAAGGTTGTGGTGCCTGAACCTCCAAACAATTCCATGCAGTCAATACCAGGTTCATCATACCTCGCTCGTTGGTAAAAGATTGAAGCCATATTGAAAGAGTTACAACATGTTGTCCAGGCAGTTGGTGGGACTTCCGTACCCGAACCATAGAATTGGAGAGTTGAGCTTCCAATCACTAAGCATGCTAAGTCATAAAAGGCTTGCTCTTTCACACTGGCTTCGGATGCATCGGATGTTGTTACTTTGAGGATGTCGAAATTCTCCCCGCAATCATCTTGGTGTTGTTCAACATGTTTCTTGCGGGGCTGCACCACGTGTCCTTCAGCACGTTTCTTCTTTTGACGCGGTGCACTTTCTGTTGGATACAACTGTCGTATTGAATCATGTCTTTGTTGTTCAAACCGTTGCACTGAATCAGGTTCAAACTGTGGCAATGAATGAGGTCCAAACTGTCGCTCTGAAATTTGCTTAGTTGTTGATAGCTTTGGATCTTTGTGGCAACTCTTGCACGGAATGAGGTTTGATGGAAAAGGAAGTTGTGCCAACCCAGTGAAAAGATGTTGCATTTGAGCTCGAAGCTTTCCAGTCATCATCGATGATTATTGGTGGAGATTGCTGAAACAAATTGGAAATACATTGCTGAAGTCTAGTCTGTCGTTGTTCTGAAAGTGCATCAAGAGGAACTGGACATTCACTGCTTTGTGGAACAAACATGGAGTTACGAGGTTCCACATGCACACGAATCAGGCCATGTCTTCCATGAGAAATCCAAAAATCACGCTGGCTGTTGAAACTGCTGGAGGCATTTGGATGTTCTGACATGGTGGCAAGTGCATCGGCAGGCAAAGGCTTTGCAGCAACATGCAAGCTTCCAAAACGAACTGCTTTCTTGGCACCATCTGCACCGGCATTCACTTCTTCTGGCAAAACAGGTGTTGAGATGTCATCGGACTCTAACTCAGGTTGTCCTTTGGCGAGCATCTGCGACGGATCACCTGTCTGGAAATTGTAAAAACAAACACGGTGCATGACTGTTCGCAAAACATTCTCGAAGCGGGCAGCTGAACGGGTTCCAAGTTCTTTGGATTTGGCATGTTGGACATCACCGCATCTACATTCACTGCCATCTGCAACATGGAAATTGGTAAGCAGTCGGATCTTGGAACTGCATGGCATTTCATTTGATTTCAACACATTCTCATAGCGACACCATCGATGTGAAGTTTGCAACAAAGTTTTGGTGCAGTCTCTGACGCATTGGAGATTCCAAACTTGACTGCGTTCACTGGCTTCCACAATTACAAACCTATTGGCATTCCGCTGGCAAGAAAGGATTCTGATAAGGTTTTCGGCTCTTAAAGCATCTTGGCGATTTCCAGAGCCAACACAAGGTCCTGCAAAGCGAATCCACAAGACAAGAGGACGTTGCAACACAATCTCATTCAACAACCGCTGGCACTGTGATCGGCTGTGAAGATCATGATAAAAATGCAGCGTTCTAAAGTTGAGCTCTTGCAGTAAACGTTGACTTAGACCAAACTTATCAGAAAACACCCAGGCCAAATTATCAACCCTTGAGATTATCTTAGGCTTCACTATTGGCTTCGGAACATCAGCTGTCGTCTGGATGCAATGGGAAGGCATGTTGGCAGCAAAAGAGGCATCCGTTTTACTGCCAGCCTCAACACATCAGTTTGGCTCGGTTTCTCGCCGCTTTGGTCCCGGAGACTGGGATCTGTTGCGGCGGCATGACATGTTGAAGGAGAGTTCCTTCTCATCGGCTGATTTCGATGGCATCTGCGACCTGGCATGTAACGGAAGCACCCAATGACCTGAACTTGTCAATTCGAGATCAAACACACGGCTTCCTGGAGACATTTTCACTTCGACTCCGCCAGGTCCCTGGGAGTATTAACTTACCTGTGCCGCAATCCATGATCACCTGCATCTTTCGAAGGGTCCTGTTTCCAAGCAAAGGAGGCAGCATGCTATCCTGGATGATCGGTGCCGTTTAAGTTGCATCTGTCTGTTTTCCAAAAACATCAACAACTGACATCGGGATGCATGCAGCTTGGTCGGCTACCTGAGCAGCTTTACCAACCCCTTCTACTGGCAAAGGTTTATTCATTGCTCGCAGGTGAAGTTTTGATTGCAATTCACTGCACATCTGTTGGGCTGTCAAACCACCTATCAGGTTGTCATGTGCACCTGGGTCCACAAGCAGGCCAACACTGCCATCACGTCGGCGAGTTCGAAGGCTTCGAAGGTGATATGAACTCTCCGTGTTTCTGATTTCATCATCTGGCTTCTCCGAAACTTCCCACCATGGAAAACTGCCGGCATTGGGATCGAAAGGCACAAAACCTGTGGCACCTGAACTAGACTGTGCACCACTCGACTGACCGGGCTGTGGAAACTGATGGGAAACATGTGGTGGCCAAACAGCTTTTGGATACGCCATTGGGCATCTGTGGCATTGCATGCATGTGGACACCTGGAACATGCGACATGAACGGCATCGGAAGCATCGTCGGCTGTGAAACCAAACTGTTTTCCAGGTTGAGCACATGACGTCCTGACAGCATATTTGGATTTGATACTTGAGAACCCACAGCTGAACCAACTTCACTTCGATTGTCCAAACTTTGCAAAACATTCTGTAAACCAGCTATACTCTGATCTCTCAACCGTTGTTGCTCTTGCTTTGACATTCTACTGAACTTCGCATCATCAGCAGTGGCATCGGATGCTGTAACATTCTCAGAAACTCCATGCGGCACGGATGCATGAGCGGCGGATGCATTTGGAACGGATGCTTGGGAAACGGATGCAGCTGCATTCACTCCACTTGGCCGTGCTGGTTCACTGGGCTCGTCAAGTGGCGTTTCAACATCGCGTCTGACACCTAAGAGAATGGTTGCTGGAGCTGGTTCAGTTGGAGGCGGCACAACTGGTTGGGATGCATTGGCAATCAAAGGTTCAACTTCTGGGTTTACTTCAGTGGTGGCTGTTGGAAAGAAACTTGGACTCCATCGTGCGGCTGACTTAGTGGGTGCATTGGGCGTCGCATCAGGTTCATGTGCACTAGAACGCTTTCGACTGCTGACAGCACTTCCGGCCTGCGACACACTTCGGAGGTTCTCCATTTCCGTTCCAAAGAAATGCACTCCTGGCAGCGACGTGGAATGACCCGGACCCCACAACATGTTATTACATGGCATCAGTGCTAGCTGTTGTTGGGAAGCAGGCTGTGCAACATGAACATTGGCAGTTGGGATTGCATTGGTGGCATATGATCCATCACCGGATTGATTCCTCTTTGGGCAGTTGCGCCATAAATGCTCTTCTGATTGGCATATGTTGCATTTGAGGGTAACACCATTCTTATCCTTTGGATTTCTTTTCTTGAAAGAACTGCCAGGCTTTCCTTTTCCCCCTTTTCCACCGGCAAAAGAATTGGGAGGAAGAAACGCAGCATAGGCACCTGGTCGATACCCCTTTCCCCCTTTGAAACTCTTACGATATCTTCTGGGGTACTTATTTGAAATGCGACGCCAACGTTTGCGAGCAAAGGCATACTGCAAATAGGCTTCAACTGGATCATCTGTGTCACCTGGCATGGAACTACCGTCATCTGAACTCGTATCAGTACTATATGCATCATCTTGGAAATAATTGCCACATGTTGGACAACATTGATTGGGAACACTACCAGCTGCAAATGCTTGGGATGAAAGCCCACTTGTTTCAGGCTGCTCGTGAGGAATGTTTCCCGCAGCGGCTGCTGCTGCATGTGCAGTGGCCCAGGGATCTGGAGCCATTGGACCACCTGTCTGATAGGCATTTCCATGGGGTCCATCGGGTACGAAGGTTGGAAAGTAACCCTCAGTCACGTGAAAATTACCAGCATCACCCATTGCTCCCTGTGTTCCAGGATGTTGCATTCGACCTTCCTTCAGATGAAATAGTCTTCTAATTCGTTCACACAACGCACCAAACTCAACATCATTCTGTGGCATTTGTCCCCCAAGTGGAGCCAACAATCTGTCCCATGCTTCAACACCGAGGCCTAATGACTGAAGCAAAAGCCATGTCAAACCCGTCAGATTCACTGCAAAGCCGGCACGGTTCTGTGCCCTGTTTCGCAAGATATCAAAACGAACAAGAAGGCTGTCGATTGTTTCTCCAGGTTGGCGACGAAATGACAAGAATTCTGCAATCGATTTCGTTGTGTTCTCAGCTTCAAGAGGTGCATAGCGACGTGCAAGAACAGTCACTAACAACATGAGTCCCGTCAGCTGCTGTCCAGTCATTGGGTCGATGTCACCATGTTGCAGCTGTTGGGGTGTCAACTCACGGATAAGTTCTTTGGCACTACCTTGCACCTGAAGAGCTGCAATTGGACCATGTCTGGCTGGGTCCAACTCTGTCGCACTTGCCCACAATACCAAGTCTGATATCCAAGATCTGAGTGTGTAGACATGATTGCGTTCCACACACCAACTCGGAGGGCACTTCAACGTGGCTGTTCCCACAAAAGGTGGGCCTGCATCGGACTGATGAACGTGGCTTCGAAAACCATGCTGGGCAGGATGTGGTCGAAATGGCTGTTGCTGCATGAGACATACGCTTGCACACATCACACCAGATATCATCACCACCATTCCAAAAGTCCAATTGCTAGATCTTCCCAGAGTTATGCGCCGAACCATTGTGCACCATCGTTTGAATCTATCAATCAACAGACCATGACTGTGCCCAGAAAACTGCTGATCATCTGCACCACCGGAACCTGCTGAAACATCATCCTGCAACTTCCGGTTAACCACCAATCCTCTGTCTTCATTGACCTGATTTTCAAAAGCTTCACTCACAAACATCAGTGTACGGGCCCTTTGTCTGTCAAAACTCGGAGAAAATCCATCACGCAGGTACTCATCATTTCGATATGCAGCATAGAATCCAGTCTGATTGGCCAAGGATACAGTCATTTTGTCTGAACCGTCAACTGTCACATCCAAAGTCAAACTCAGCTTGAAGTTCATTGCCGCTTGCACATTGGGCTCATCTGTCGTCACCAGGCTTTCAAACACGTCGTCGTCTGCAGCACTCGTCGTAATCCAGCTGTTCGTGGTCGTCGTCTGTTCAACCAGCGAAGCGCCATCATCCATCGTCAGGATCTCAAGGCCAGCGAAAGTCAGAATCAACGTAACCAAAACAGTCAAGAAAGTTCTGCAGAGACCAATCGTACTCAAAGTCCTCGGAGCTCCCATGGGCTCCGCTACCAAGTTTTGGTAGGGAGCCCCTCCTGATCCCCTCATTCCCAGAACCAAGGGCGCCACATTCGCAGCTCTGCCCTTTTCCACAGCGGGACGTCGCATAGTCTTCCAATGGGCTTATCGAGATTCGACTAGCCAGCAGGAACGGATGCTCATGCAAAAGGGAAAGGATCAGTCTCGGGGCATGCAAAGGAACTTGAGAATTGCTTGACAAGCTGCGGCCACGATCCAAGGTGCAAGGTTGTCGACCTGACCAACGGATGCTGGATATGCAGAAGGATTGGATATGTATGGGAGGTGGTACAGGATCAACCCCTCTTAACTGAAGCTGCACCAGATCGCACCGGAGCTAATCTGGGCTAAAGACCCCATAGCAAAGTTCTGCTGTTGGGGGAAAAGGTTTTATAGCAAAGTTCTGCTGTTGGGGGAAAAGGTTTAAAGCGTTAACCTTATTTGCGAAGTTTATCTCAAATGCAAAAACAGGTTCTGCACCGAAAGGTTTGCAACAAACATCTACTGCAAAGTAAACCAGCAAACAGCAAACAAACAAACAAACAAACAAACAAGCAAGCAAGCAAGCAAGCAAGCGAACAAGCGAACAAGCGAACAAGCAAAAAAAGCAAACAAACAAACCCAACCAAAAAAAAAACACAAAGCAAAGCAAAATAGACAAAAACAAACAAAATCCAGCAAACTAACATAGACTAAGTAACTAGCTAACTAACATTTTGGAATTTCCCAAGTTGACTGCTTCCGAGTTTGTTTCTAGTCTGCGCCGCTTTTGATTTTGGGCTGAAACATGCGCACACCTTTGTTTCACTGCAAAACAAACCTATTTGATGGGTTTCGAACATGGGTAGGTTTTTCCACAAAAGAACAAACCTTTCTCCGACCGAAGCCTCTGAGGAACAAACTACTGCCTACATCCCTACTGTGTCTTTGGGGAATTGGGATGGTCAGAGGAGGACAGGAGAATTTTGAGGGTTGGGTGTTTAGCGGGGCGAGTGAGGAGAATTCAGGCCTTAAAAATTCGCAAACAACACTCCAACCCTACCTTGCAATACCTTGAATCAAAGGACAAGTTTAAAGGTTTTGCAGCGTCACGCTTGACCCCAGTGTAACATGATTCCGCCTCATGCCACAGCGCTTTGGCCGCAATGGCATTGCCATTGTATAGGGCCCGGTTGAAACTCTTTCCCAATGCCGGGATTGCAGCTGCACGAACAGGCTCAAATAGCAAAAATGTCAGTGCAATCTGTACACCAGGCACTACTAAATTCAAGGCAGCGACAAAAAATGATCCGCCTTCCACAAGCAAAAACAAGACAGACATGAATGCCTGGGGCACGTTCTCAATGAGCAAGTGGTGGCGCTTGCATTTTGTCACTTGTTTGTAGATTGTAGGGAGGATTAGCCTTTCCCAACAACTTCCAGACCACTCACCTTGGACCTTTGGGGCTATGAGCAAAACTGAGAGGTGGTTTGTGGCCAGCTCATTAAAACAGTTTGCACCTGGCACGTCACGTGCAGCCTGAGTTGCCGAAAGGAAAAAGAACCAGGCATGGAAGGCTAATAGGTACGACCAGCTCAATACACCCACTATATTCATGAACAAGTGCGGTGACTGTAAACAAAGCCCTCCAAAAATTACATCTTTTAAAGTGTCAAATTGGTCAGACAAAAATGGTGCCATGGAGGAAAATGAAGCCATGGCAAAAGCTGTGGCATCAAAGCGATCACCCGCTTTGAGCCAGGCCACCGCCAGCACAGCTTGAATGAGAAGGGAGGCACCGGCACAACAAAACAGCAACAAGTAAACTTCCCAGACCAAACCGAGCGACTTGGACAGTCTCCCAGTTTGGAGGCTCCACAGAGTGGCAGCGAGGCTCAAAGACACCGTGCCGCCAAAGCTCAACATGACCAGCCGTAATTGAGCTCCTTTGCTCAATGGGTGTGCGTGGCCCAGGTTGGAGCCGAGTGCTTTCAACTCAGCTCCCACGACCATGATGACGGTCCCCACGATAGTAACACCAAAAAACACCCCGAAAAAAAGACAAACAAACCAATGGAAGCGTTGTGACCTTTCCTGATCCGTCATGGCTCTGATCTGTGCAATTGTTGGAAGAAACACTTGTGGCTCCTCTACAGTCTGGGCAGTAAAATTTCCATGGACCCAGTTCTCTACAAATCCAACCAGATCTGGCAGGTCAGGAATCTCTGGCAGATTCAGACCAAACGCAGCACCAATCAGGGTCAGCAGCTGGATTTTCATGGCGCTCAATCGGATTTTTGAAGCTGTGTCTATCTGCGCGCCATTGAGCTTCCAAAACTGGGGGCAGGATACCAAAAGTACGAGTGCATCAATTTCATGAAACAGGCAGTCACGCGGGCAATTTCAATGAATGGACTTGTCTAAGACTAGCCAACAGTAGTTCAAGATCAAAACAAGTTTACCACAGATCAAAGGAAACTAATGTGAGAAAGAATGAGAATCGTGCGCAGCAACTTCCTTTTCCTGATGACTGGCGACCACTCTGTGATTCTGCAGCGCTTGGCGCTGGCACTCTCACTCTTTGGATCTTTGGCGCTTTCAAGGTCCCTCTATGTTGAATAATGTGAAACAACCCCGACAGTACGGTTTATTTTTATTACAAAAATACTTGGCGACAATTCTCTTGATCGTCTGAAAGTCACGGGCCACTGCTTGTCCCCATTATCTTTGAGTCATTGCCGAACTCTCAAAAGCTTTTCAAGAAGCTGCAACCTCTCTTTCGAACGCATTTGCCCTTTTGACAATCCCTCATACAATTTCTGGAAATAAACTATAAAGATCTATAAAGTAGATCTGAGTCCGTCCCCCTTGTTGGGCGGGTAGATCTTTCCAAGGTGCATTCAACCTGAATTGTTTGGATAATTTGGATATGCTCACACCTGAAACCTTCCAAGAGTAACTATGTATAGAATCCAAGGAATTGTCTATGCACACTGCTCTCAAGGGTCGTGATGTCGTTCTGGAAGTCATGGCACCTCTGCACCACCAGTCACTAACGAATGCGAGTGTCATGGCTCAAAAGCAAGCAGACCCTGAGACAAGTTTGCCCCACCAGTCAAGGTAACCTTCCTGTTCGAAAACCAGTATTTTGAGTGATGGGCTGAAATATCGGACGATTTGACAGCCATTAACAGTCTGAGTGGCTCACAAACGTCATGTTCCTCAGTTCCTCTATATATACTTATAGCAAGCTTGGCTCTAGGCAATTGGCCAAAAATGTGTGGTTTGGAAATCCATCTGCTGATATTGGATGCGAGAAATGCCCATCCCTAATCTAGTTGTCCATCATGAGATTCCCATCGCACCCTTGTGTTGCCAAGCCTAGGGGCTGCAATGGACACTCCTGAAGCGCCATGGGATTCGATGTGGGCGAATCTCAAAATTTCTACAGAACCAGTTCACCGGGATGCCCGAACAAACAATGGGAACACGAAACAGCTGCCAAAAATGGGACTGGACAAAACCCAAGAATGATGACTTTTCAAAACTGTGTCTGGGCACTCAATTCCAACCTAACTGGGCCCAGAACAAACGGACGCTCCAAACAGATCGGTTTTTTGGCACCTTCAAATGCCAGTGACTCATGCATAAATGCAGCAAATTCGTCAATTCTTGTCACGACACAATATCCAACTGCACCATGTTCCGTCAAACATATCCCATTTGTCCATCTCCGAATACCGTTGTCCTCCCCAAAGGCTGCCAATGTGTCAGCGCTAAAAGTCCCACCCCGGTACGAAGCAGAAGTGAGTTGGGGTGACATGCTTGGATGGGCAGAATATTTCACTGTAAGTTCGGGTTTCACTAATATCCCCAAAAAAAGTGGGTGAACTAGGCACGGCAAACGTGAAAACTGTCCAGTTTGGTTTCAGGACTGCCCATTCTGCACTATTGTGGGGACCAAAACGCTGCGCAGGAATTGTTTTTCATAATGGTGGAGGATGGTGCAGGATGGTGCAGGTAGTGAAAAGGTGCTCAAAATCATGCCTTATCATGGTTCGTTGAGGTTGAGATTGGAATCATCCTGAAGAAGAAGAAAACATGTTCAGCAATATGTTGCCTTTTGGAGAGAAGAGGCGAGAAGCCATGCTCCGAGAGCAAATCAAGGTTTTTGTGCAGCTGTCATGTCTGCAGAAGCAGAATTGTAACCCTTCTCAAGCTGACGCCGATGCTGCCATGTTCAAGAACAAGACTGAAGCTAAAATAAGTGCCACGTGTATTGAGTGGGTCTTTGCCTTTTCCATCCACATTTTCAAACGAAGGATTGCCAAGTTCGAAGGGAAAGGCGGTGTCTGTTCCAAGGCGGGATCAACACGTCTACCTGGTTGAGGAACTGTGTCATTTCCTACAAGGGACGGATCTCCACTTGTAAAAAAAAAATGTGGAACAGAAGCACCAGGCATTAATGAGAATTAGTGTCCAAATGTGCTGGCACATGGGTCATCTCATGAGTGAGTCACATGGTCGCACACGTTGCAGTCAAAGAAGGTCCTTGGTCTCTGGCAAAAAGAACCAGTCACATGCAAAATTCACCATGTAGAAACGATTTTCTCATTACGAAGGTTCGCTAACTCTATACTCTAGGAGAAGCCGAAGGAACACCAGAAAACAATTCGCAACCACAGATTTCAGAGGATTTAGAAGCATACCAATATCCATGTTGTGAACCAGCGTTTTCGCTGAATACTCCTGCCGCGGCATCCATTAAGAACAAGACTAAGTTTCAACTCCAAAATCAATGAGAAACAGTAAATTGTCCATCCGATCATAGGACACATATGGTCCAACGCTGGCACAATTTTGGAGCAAAGCCACGGACACTTTAAACAATAACAAAGCGTTCACAACCCACAGCCAAGCTACTTGGATCTCATGTAGATGTCGCCCGTGGATTTGCAGAAGAAATAACATTGTTTGTAATTTTTTGCGTGACGGGCGCAGCAATTGAGAACCCCGTACGGCCATCTTAAAGGTTGAAGCGCGGCTGGATACTTTTATTTGACGCCTCCACATGGAGCAGTGGAAAGGCGGAAGCCGATGGTGCCAAGCACAGCCCTGTGGGTAGATCTCCTTCATTGGGGCCCAGATGAAAGATTTCCCCTCATTTGCAGAGGAACCCAACAAAGCTACTTGCCCCGTCCATGAAACAAAGCTGAAAAAATTGCAGTAGTGAACTCTTTCTCATCAATGTGGTTGGAAATCAATAACGCTCTTGCAGCAGAAGGACACCGCCCATCACAGTGGCAAGCCCAACCTGAAGCCTCCACCAAGAAAGATAAATGCGATCGTTGACTCTCAGCTATGATTGCTGTAGCTCCCTTTTTTCTTCACTGGAAGATTGGACTATCTACACACACCGAAAGCCGGTGTGACGCTCGGGGATTCACAGATGCTTCAAAAGCGGCTTGCGGTGTTCAGATTTACAGTTCCTGTGGAGAATCCCGACATCGGCATTCCCAAGACTGCCTCCTGCAAGGGGAATCGTCGATGTTTGCGCTTCCAGACTCCAGACTTGCAGTTGCAAATCCAAGATGAGGATTTGACTTATGTTTAGATCCCCGCGCCACATCTTCAATGTTGGACGGAGGCTTAAATGTTGCAGTTTCACCTTTTGAACTGATAGCCGATAGCCATCAAAAAGGACTTTTGCCTCAGGTCACATCCTCAAATTGGAATTCACTTCTTAGTTGCAATAGCATCAACACACCCTCAACATTGACAATGGGGTCGCAGGGGTTCAGTTTGTGGTTGGCCCTTGTGGGGGCCATGCAAGGAAAGATGGCCGTACGGGGTTCTCAAGGGCTGCACCTGCCACGCTTCAATGTTTAAGATGGCCGTACTGGGTTCTCAAGCGCTGCGCCTGCCGCGCGTCAACCTTTAAGATGGCCGTACTGGGTTCTCAAGCGCTGCACCTGCCGCGCTTTAACCTTTACGATGGCCGCACGGAGTTCTCAAGCGCTGCACCTGCCGCGCTTCAACTTTTAAGATGGCCGTAGGGTTCTCAAGCGCTGCGCCTGCCGCGCTTCAACCTTTAAGATGGCCGTACGGGGTTCTCAAGTGCTGCGCCCGTCACGTAAACAAATGGAATCTGTAAAATAATCGTACAAACAAAGAGCCCAACTAAACCCACCGCGCTGTGGCGAGAACACAATTTTGGTGTTGCGGGCCAGACGGTTTAGTACCCTACTCAACGTTCAAGAGCCCTGGAGGAATGGGAACGCACCTTGTGTGAAAACAAGGCGGTGGCGATCCTTGCACAGATGTAAGCCGGCCGACCGGCCCTCATCCAGAAAGATGGCGGCGAAATGCTTATTGCCATTGTCCTTGACAGGCCACTTGCGGACGCTAAGGCACTAGTGGACGACCCTGCAGCTTTCACTCGCGAAATGACGAGGATTCTGCTGGAAAAGCAAAACCATCCACTTATTGCGCAAATGATCAAGCCAGCAGGAAGTGGTGACCCACCTCCCTCAAATAGCGCAGCCAGCAGCACCGGCAGCCATGAACACCCCAGAGCCAGTCAGCCCGTGCAGTTCCAGTAGTCTCACATTGTTGACAACCACACACAAAATAGGTATCCTTTTTGCTGTTCTAGAGTACTTCAAACTTCAAAGGTCTAGAAACATTTTTTTGTGTGAAATTTTGACCACTGAATAGAAAACTGGTTAACGTGGGATACGCATGGTTGACTACTGCCTAGTGGATCTGGGACACCCCCTTTACCTTAGATAACTGATTGTGGGGTAAGCTAGCCTTTGTAAGTATGGGAGGGGAGGAAGGGAGAGGGGGATAATTGTAACCTTTTTAATGGGCCTCTACTTGTATCGTGTTACTGATAGCGTAGGACGATGTCAAAGTACATCAAGCCATGGCGCCCGTTGCTGTTTTGCTCAGCTCAATCCAGTACCTTCACTCCTCGAATGCCGTCTGGCCATATGAATACAGCTCAACCGGAGAACTGGCATGCCTGCCTCAAGGACCCCAGAGTCACAATGAGGCACAGGATCTCCTGCTTTTGCAGGACTATATTCTGGATCAGGGCTGGTCGGCCGGCTTGCATCTGTGCAAGGATCGCCACCGCCTTGTTTTCACACAAGGTGCGTTCCCATTCCTCCAGGGCTCTTTGCGCCAGGGTGCCAGTTTGTGGTGGGGCCTTTTGAGCTGCCGGTGTCCCCAATGCACGGATGAAGGGACTGTCAGGCAGCGTGGGAGACGGCAGATTTGTGATAGCAGCTACTGCACGTAAAATATCACCTTCTTTGATATCATACGAAGGGGA